ATAAGAGAAACAGAAAAGAAAAGACACTTTGTGCTGGTACAAAAGTGTAATTTTTCTTATTTTGACACATTTCAGCCACAGTGCAGAGCTTGTCGCCTTGATTATACCACCATCAACAAGTAGATCTCTCCTTTCAGTTGAAGTATTTCTTTGTCTTCCTTGTCCTCTGTAATCTCCTCTGCCTCTTTCCCTCTTGCATTTTTTCCAGAGCTATTGTATTACTTTGTTGCAACAAAGAGACCTGATGTTGATGTTGTGGTGACTCAAACTTAAAAAGAGATATGTGTGTTCATGATGAGAACATTGCTAATGCACTCAAAGTTGTATGTAGAGTTTTGCAGAAGTAGTGCACAAGAATTGAAAATGTGTTTAAACAATGAAATTCCTTGTCTCTGGGATTATAGCATAAGCAATTGCTTAATTGCTTAATTGGTGTATTGTACTCTTCAGAGAGGAAAGCATCCAGGAAGACCTTGACATTGTCATGAAATCCAAAAGCATTCCCATGTACGGTTAAATTATGAGACAGCAGACACACAAAGTTTAATTTAAAGTCACAATGTTAACTGACACCAAATATTAAATACTATAATACAAAAAGGATCTAATTATATACAAATGGAGCACACAATGCAGAGCTTTAAAAAAGTAGAGATTTAAGTGCAAGTGACAAATGTTGCACACCCACCATAGTAAACAATTTAAACAAACAAAAACATGCGCAGTTTTTTTTTCACTAGTGCTGCTCCACCCGGATGAGCTTGAGCTTTTTTTTTTGCCATATGTCGAGCTCACTCAGCAGGTCTGCTTGGTAGGCCTGCAACCCTGTCATTGTCTGCAGTGACCCGCAAGCAAGACTACTACTGCATAGGCTTGCCCACCAATGCCACCTTGGATGCAAACCGTCCCCTGTAATTACCTGCCGTCGGTGAAGAGAGGGAGCTAGCAAGCGCCTCCACCACCTCGGGCATAGCTAAATAGCCATGCCATTCATTCCCACAATGGCCGAATAATCAAACATCATGCGGTTATGACTATGGCTTAAGCATGGTTTTCCCCCAGAAGTTTTTGTCATAACTTCTGGAAGACAGGGGAATTTCTGCAGCGTGAAGTATTTACTTTCACAAGGTAATCACTTCAAGTAGCTCTTTATACGCCGCTCTTAGCTTTTAACACATCCTTCTAACTCTTCGGAGTCAGAGAGGGATTATCACCCCTTTGGCTTTCCATAGCGGGAGGAGGAGTCGCGACGCGAACTCCAAAATCGGCAGCGGCCGGCCCAGATCCGCGAGGCTTCAAAACCCAACTCGCTCGTCTTCCGTTTTTTTCGAGAAGAGCGCGAGTCGAGCTGCTTAAGGTAGCGTTACCATGCACAACCTCTCAAGGTTGCCATCGCATACTACACCACTAACACTTCACCCAGAAAGTGTGCACTTTTCCCCCGTGATGCCACGTCACCTGATCATGGCAGGCCTATAAGTAAAGGCATGATTTTACACAAGCTTCAGATACCGGTCACGCGCACAAGGCGTTCCCATACTGCTAAATGCAACGTCTAAGTTGCCTTTGAAAGGGAAGTGTGATTCCTGTCCTTATGGACCACTATTAGCAGTGTTGCAATTCCAATTTTTGACCACTAGGTGTAATAACTCTATTGTAGCTAAAATGGGGAAGAAAAGAGTGCCCCACGTTTGGAAAGGTGAGCAGATCAATGAAATATCGGTTTAAATCTGTGAAAGTGCAAAATATTTGAAACTGTTGGTCACTCAAAAGAGGAAATTAATATTTCATTGAATTTAAAACACAAAGAGTTAGAATTTAAACTTTTGTTGAACAGGTGATATGCACTGATCAGCCATGACATTAAAACCACTGAGAGTGATTTAAAAGTGTGAATCAAAGTGGGATACATTGTGCAGCAAGTGAACAGTCATTTCTCCAAGTTTATGTGTTGGAAGCAGGAAAAATGAGAAAGCATAAGACATCTGAGAGATGGTGACAAGAGCTAAATTGGCTAGACCGCTGGGTCAGAGCATCTCCAAAATGGCAGGTCTTATGGGGTGTTTCTAGTATACAGTGGTTAGTACCTACCAAAAGTGGTCAAAGGAAGGACAACCAGTGAACCGGCGACATGGTCATGGGCACTGTCAGACGGGTTGTAGACGGGGACGGAGGCAGGTGCAGATCCAACTTCTTTATTAAACATAAATGTAAAAATTCTAATCAAAACGGAGCATAGACTTTTCCAGCTCCTCTTCTCTCTCCTGCAGCAGGACTTGTGTGGCTTGGAGCTGCGACTCCCTTCCAGTCAGCGCGCTGCATAAACTTTCCATCTCTAGCTGCATCTTGCGCATCTCCTCAGCCATCTCCTTCCTCTGCTTCTCGCTCTCGCTGGGTTTCACTGGGAGCTCTTGCAGCCGAGCATCATCTCGCTTCTTGCAAGATTTAGCGTCCTTTTTACTCTGAGTACTTACAACGGGAGGCTTGGCTGAGATTGGAGCTTGAACTTGGAACTTGGCTTTGGGCGGAATTCTAAAAATTGGGTCAGCAGACTTGGAGATGAAAGGATTTCGCTTAGCCGGATGCGCGGTAACTTGGACCTGTGACTTGGCCTGGACAGGGACAGGTCCTGGAGACCTGGAGATGAGCAGCACCTGTTCATAGTACACGTGGAATGGGCACTCCGCCACGTCCACATCCTCCAGCAACTGAGCATAGTGCCGTCCTGGTTCTCCGAACTCCTCCCAAAACATGTCCAAAAACTCCCAGACATCCTCCAGCACCCAGGGTTCCGTGGCTGCCACTCGCTGTGCCCATGTGCGAGCTGGGCCAACCAGGCGAGACAAGATAAACAAAGTGAATTGTCCTTCAGTCGGCGTTGGGTCGCATAGGCTGGAGAAATAATACTGACAGTCCTGCAAGAACTTATCCGGGTAAAGGTAGCCATCATACGGCTCCGGCATGACCATAGAAAACCTTTGTGCAAAGCTCATGGATTTCAGGGCGGGAACCCATAGCGTAGGCTCCCGGGTGCGGCTTCTTTGCCGTTCTCCTACGGCGTCCATGGTGCCACGGTCAGATCTGCTGCATCCGTAAGTCGGCTCGGGATTCTGTCAGATGGGTTGTAGACGGGGACAGAGGCAGGTGCAGATCCAACTTCTTTATTAAACATAAATGTAAAGACTCAAATCAAAACGGAGCATAGACAGATCAGGAGCAAACCTAGCATAGACAAACTGGAGCAAACGTAGCATAGACATACTGGAGCAAACGTAGCATAGACAAACTGGAGCAAACGTAGCATAGAAAAACTGGAGACCCGCTACAACACAGAAGACTTGTGAACAAAAACACTACCATATCATCTATCTAATCCCGAGCAACATGCTTCGTTGCTCGGGAGCCTTAAATACCCGGCGTTACCCAAACTAAACATGATTAACAGAAATTACAAACACCAGTGTGAAATCAGGAAGCAAAAAAGTCCGATGGTAAAACCCAGTGCCACAGTGCTCTCTGCTGGCCGCACTGTGACAGGCACCCAACGCTCAATGATGCACATGGGGAGTGAAGGCTAGCTTGTCTGGTTTGATCCCACAGAAGGGCTACTGTAGCAAAATTACTGAAAATTTTGGTGCTGCCTATGATAGAAAGGTGTCAGAAGACATTGTTTATGGGGCTATGTAGCCACAGACCTTTCAGAGTGCCCATGCTGTCTCCTGTCCACCACTGAAAGCACCTACAATGGGCATGTGAGTATCAGAACTGGACCATGGGGCAATGGAAGAAGGTAGCTTGGTCTGATAAATCATGTTGTCTTTTTCATCATGTGGATGGCAGAGTGTGTGTGCATCACATACCTGGGGAAAAGATGGCAGGATGCACTATGGGAAGAAGGCAAGCTGACGGAGGAAGTGTGATGCTCTGTGCAGTTTTCTGCTGGGAAACCTTGTGTCCTGTCATTCATGTGGATGTTACTTTGACAAGTACCACTTACCGAAACATTGTTGTGGACCAAGTACACCCCTTCATGGCAACAATATTCCCTAATGGCAGTGGCCTCTTTCAGCAGGAAAATGCAGGAATGTTTTGAGGAACATGACAAATAGTTGTAGTGTAAACTCAATCTAATCGAGCATCTGTGGGATATGCTGGACAAACAAGTCCGATCCATGGAGGTGCCACCTCACAACTTTAAGGAATTATTAAAGGATCTTCTGTTTCCATCTTGGAGGCACCCTAGAAACATAGAGAACAAGGCAAGAGAGAGAGAGAGAGAGAGAGAGAGAGAGAGAGAGAGAGAGAGAGAGAGAGAGAGAGAGAAAGAGGGGGCTGAGGGAGAAGACGTATTACAATTTAAGAATTAATGCTCATCACAGTCCTTTCTCACCCCTTTTCTGATTGAAAAAATATAATAGCCTCCCGAGACGTAAAAGTCTTTATATAATCATTTAAACATGGGCATTAAACCCACTTCCTTTATATTATTGTAACTAGAAATGTAAAACTGACTATACTGGTCTAGGCTGACATTATTAAAAATGTCTATAAATAGGCTGAATATTCTTATATTTGTTTTAATCTTAATTTCTTAATGTGAAATATTAGATACAATACTGAAGATATGTTCAGTTGCTAACATGTTTTGCAATGAGTGTGTCAGGTGTAGCAGTGTTTTAGAGTGTTCTTTAACACACATCAATATCCAGGCAACAGTAGCCCTATGGTGAGAAAATGACCACTGATTAAGGGATGGGGGATGAGTAACACACACTCTGCATAGAAAAACTGTACACCACCAAAGGTTAAATGTTTTGAGACTTTGTCACATGTGGACTCTATATCTAATGCATGTGTTTTATTTTTTCCACATGTGTTTTTCACGATTCATTTACTTTCAGATGTTATTTTGTGATACACAGCTTCACTAGGATCCTATATCAGATTTAAGTACAATGTGTTTTAATGGTACCAAATATTGCTTTTAGTACATCATTTTGGGTCCCATCTGCTTAGTGGTTATCACGTTTGCCTCACACCTCCAGAGTCCGGGGTTCAATTCCCGCCGGGGCCATGTGTGTGCGGAGTTTGCATGTTCTCCCCGTGCTGCGGGGGTTTCCTCCAGGTACTCCGGTTTCCTCCCCAGTCCAAAGACATGCATGGTAGGCTGATTGGCGTGTCTAAAGTGTCCATAGTGTATGAATGGGTGTGTGAATGTGTATGTGATTGTGCCCTGCGATGGACTGGCACCCTGTCCAGGGTGTACCCCGCCTTGTGTCCAATGCTCCCTGGGATAGGCTCCAGGTTCCCCGCGATCCTGAACAAGGAGTAAGCGGTAGAAGATGGATGGATGGATGGGTCCCATCCATACCACTTCTCAGGGAGTCAATGGGTTTTTGTGCAGATGGATATCGGCAGCATGGCTTGTCCATATGATGACTGGGATGTCTCTCAAAGGGGCGGAACCTGGTAACCAACTACCAAACACTGAAACAGTAATGAATATGACTGACATGTCAAAGTTAAACATAGCCAGTCAGACTCACATCACCGCAGTAGTGTTCAGTAACCGGATCCATAGCAGTTTTACACAACTAGTATAGCCTGTTATTATAATCTTTCAATTGCTATATATTGTTATGTCATTCTTTTCATTCACATTTTGGTCTGGATCTCTAGCTGTCGCTACTTTTATCAGTGAATTTTAGTCAGCTAATTAGTAGCTTAATTGTCAGACGCTACTAATTTTGTCAGCCTGATTTTGGAAAAGTCTTTTAATGCACTTACTGGGAATTAAACAGGAGGCCAGATCAGCAGATAAAACAGATGTAACAGAACACATACAGAAATATACACCCGTGCTTCCACATTTTAAAAACCACCAGCCACCACTGACGCCCATGCTAATATGCTAACATATTATTTGCATGTGTGAAAACATGGTGAAAATTCACCACGTTTTTTCTTATTTCACTTCTAATCAAATATAACTCACACAATCACATGGGAAATGTATGTGATTTATTAATTTATATGCATAAGGTCATATGCTCTATCTAATAGAATAGATTGTAAGCTAAGAATGGACTGTTCTTAAAAAATAAATAAATAAATAAACCATAACACCACTGTGCCTAATATGCTCGCTCATGCAACACACAGTACGATGCCACTATGTCCTGAGAATGGTTCATCACCCAAAATAATTTGCCAGTAGTGGTCCATTGATGGAGGTACTAGAGGGTGGCTGAGACAGTGTGCATGCCAGCAGATGCATGTGCTGCAGACAGTACAATGCATCTATACGGTAGGTGTACCTTATATTGCCAGTGCAACTGTTCATTCACTGTGCTAGTTTCAAGTGTGTTAAACAAATAGCTGGTTAAAAAAAGAAAACGATTTTATTCAAAATATATTACAGTTATTCACTGTAACAAAAAAAATGTTTGTAGTGTAATAAAGTGGGCATACAGAGTATACTGTGTACGGATGCAAATTGATGCTGTAAGACTGAGACGTCATTCATGCAACACAATTCAAGCATCAATCATACCAAAACGGATGGAAATAACATTTTATCTTATTCAGCGTGTTGCAAAATGAAAGTACATTAAGCTGTCAGAAGTGGCTTTTTAAACGAAACACCCGCACTAAAGCAAGATGAGAGAGCAGCGCGCGCGCAAGTGGCAACCGATCTGAGCCCGTGTCTCGGTGAGAACTGAGCGCGAGAGAGGCGCTTAAGCGACAGCAGCAGCATTTTCATCTTACTCATCAGTGCTCTTTGTGCTACGCCTCATCCGTTATAAGCGTCTCTTAGAGGTCTTCATCAACGGGATCGTGTTCTGTGGTGCATTACTGATAAAGTTAATCATCAGAAGGGTCCCCCCCGCAGAAGGAAGAGGATTTTTACAGAAGCAAGTTTACCATTTGTGAACCAACATTTCCGTCATATGTCGGTATCCATGAAAAAGGTAAGTGGATTTCAATCATCTTGACTGTAATAACATGTGACAGTAAAGATAAATAGTCTAATGACAAGTCACATATGTTTGTGATAATGACAATTAATTGGAGCACTCCATCTGTATAATTTAACATACTGCACATTTTTCTCATCAATAGAAACTCCAGAACCTCCTACTGTATGTAGTGATTGGGTTCTTGTGTCTTTATTGATGTGCTTCCTTTTCCCAGTCTGGTTTCTGTACCTGACAAGTTAGTATTTTGTTCTCCAGGTTTCTGAGAGTTGTCTTCCCTATGGTAACGTTTTTTTGTTGTTGTTTGTTTGTTTGTTTGTTTTTCAAACAGAATGAATCCTAATATTATTACACTTTTTGTTCCTGCTTATTCCGGAAACCAGACAATGATCTCAAATCTCAAACGACTGTAAGGTTCACTGCTGCAGGATTAGCAGATTTTAAAATTCTACCTGCTGTTGTCTGAGACTTGACACCAATCAGAAACCATTCAAACATACCACCTTCACATTCACTGCACACTATAGGCTGCACAATTTTAGGGTTCTCATAACAGTTTAACCCAAAGAGTACCCGCTTGGTCCTGCAAAAGCACATCTAATTAACCCCATTCTCATGTAAACTCCAGGTATAATTAACAAAACAAATAATTTCCCAGAACACTTCACCATTTGTTTTTAAAGAAGCTAAAATATATTTTTTAAAAGCACTATGTCAACGAAAAGTTAGTCAGTTACTTTAACATTATTACCAAATGGCTCGCACCATTTGATCATTGTTTAAACAAGCATTTCTATCTAAATTAAGAATGAGAAAGCCTGGTTAACTGTATTGAAAATAAAATGCCACATCATCTAAAAGATCTCTTCATATAGTGATTTCAGTCAAGTATCGATCTGTAATAGACAACAACAGGCATACGTTTCTTTCATATGTTTAATACACGTAGTTGCTCTCGAGATACACTGTATCTCCTCATTACCGTGTATATGGTGAAGAGACTCAGAGGTTTTATTCTGAAACACTCTCAAAGTCTAAAGCCTTAATTACATAACATGAAGAGGTCTATAGAATACACAGATTTAATGAGACAACAGTGAGTTGACCTACAGTAATCATGCAGTGGATATAATAATGCCTGCAAAATACCCATATCCACTGTTAGGGCAGTATTTCAGACATTTAAAACAACTGGAGCTGTAATGAAACTGTCCTCACGGATGGTTAGGGGGGCAGAAGTTTTGCCAAGGATCTAACCAAAAACTTAAGTGCCTGGCATTTGCTAGATGCTACTGGAACCTTTAGTGGAATCAGGTTATATGGTTAAATAAATTAAGAGCAATTAAAAGTGCTTTTTAACAGTAAAAGTAGCTTTTGGGCAACAAATACTCAAAGTGGGTTTGATGTAAAAAGAAGGATGGATATACAGAAAATAATCCCCACTGCTATGCATGGTGGAAGATCTGTGACATTGTGGGGCTGTTTTTCCTCCAAAGGCCCTGAGAATATTGTTAGTATATATGGCATCAAAGACTGCATGAAATACCATGCCTCTGTCATGCCTTCTAGGTCAGTGAACCAAATTCACACAAAAATGGTTCAATCACTACAAAATCAAGCTTCTTTCATGGCCATCCCAGTCCCCTGACCTAATCTTAAAAATTTGAAAACCTATGGGTTGAGCTGAATAGAAGAGTCCACAAGAAAGGATCTCAGACCATGGTGGGTCTTGAGAGATTCTATTCTAAGTAGTGTTCTCAGATTCCTTGCTGTGTGTTTTATAGAAGATATAACACACTATATGTGCATTATAGAAGGCTCAGTGCTGTTATTTTGACAGAGGGAGGCGCAAAATACTAAATGTAGGGGTGTCAATAGTTGTGACAATTATGGTTTTGTTAAATATATTTTTATAATAAGGAGTATTAAGTTAGAAGTACAATTTATAGTTCTCTCACGTTGTCAGGATGAGATCAATCTAATTAAACACAAAAATATTCATAAAACGTTTTCCCCATTTTTACCATGGGTGCCAGTAATTCTGGAGCTGACTGTAGGCCATGGTTGTTTACATGGTATGCAGTAATAGTGAAAAAAAAAAAAAAAAAAAAAAGATACTGCTGCATACACAAGCATTTACTATAATAAGTATCCAATAAGAGTGACACATACTTAATTCTAAACAAAACATGAAAATTATAAGAGACAGAGTAAAGGGTAACAGTAAATATTTTAGGCTAGAGCATCATCACTATCGTCATATGTGCACAATACTATTCAACGAAATGCTGAACAATGTACTGCATATTCGTCCACACAATACAGAGCACTGATTTAAATATTTGATGACCTCTATGTGCAGCTAAAGCCTGAGCAAATGAAATAGGCCAAACAATGCAATTCATTTGTTTCTGCATGGAACAAAAAGGGGCTTCACAATCCTCCTGTAGTCACACTCTGATTTGCAGGGCACAACCTGGTCAGAGTGCCAACCAATCACAGGGAACAATTGCACACACACACTATTGACAATTTAGAGATGCCAGTCAGCCTACAACACATGTCATAGCACTAGGAGCACTAAGAGTATGGACAGAAAGTGCAAGCTCTGTGCACACAGTGTGGAGACAGGAGTTGAACTCCTAACCCCGGAGGTGCGAGGCAAACGTGTTAACCACTAAGCCACTGTGCCTCAACTCATAGTTCCTTTCACATTTTTAGCCTTATATTACTATTTATCTCTAGAGAAAAAGTGGAAGGATTATGATCATTGTGTATCATTGAATGTTATTGATTATTTTACAATAAACCACCCACATATTTCTGTTTTTTGTATTTTCTTTGTTTCTAACATTTTAAAACATTTTATTTATTGCTTATTCCTGTTGCATACATGATGTTACATGTTATTCTCACATGTAGAAGGGATGTCATTAATTCAGTTTGTATTGTAAAGGTTGCAAAAAATCTGCTTATACTAGCATTAGCATTACATACACAGATGTGGACAAATTTGTTGGTACCCTTCCATGAAAAAAGAAGAATCCTCAATTTTTTCTGGAATAATTTAAAACTGACTAAAGAGTGACCCACTCTT